GTGCCTCAGTGCAATCAGCGCGGTAACTAGCGTCGAGCGAGCGGAGGTGAGCGATCAAGTCAGCAGAGCGCTCAAACGAGGCAAGATTAGGAAACAGGAACGGGAGGAAAAGACGCCCGAGAGAGACAGTAGCGGGAGTAGAGTAGCGGGCCTTAATCGCAGTGAGGTACGCAGCAGCGGTGCGAACCTGAGTAAAGTGGACCTCCTCGGACTCAGGGAGGAGGCTGCTGAGTGCGATGCAGGCCGCAGCGTCACGCGACGTCCAAGCCGTCCGGTCAGCGCGCTGACGGGCAAAGCGAGCCGTAGCAGCGTCGTCAGGAGCAGGGCCTAAAGCTGTAGGTTCGGGGGGCTCGGGGAGGTCACCAGTAGCGTGTGACCAGAGGGTCTCGCCCCCCTGGACCTGACTCTCTAACAGACGACGAGCGCGAAGAAGCCAGGCGGAAAAGTCAAGGGGTCTACCGTCGGCGTCGAAACGAAGAACTCGCGGAGTCGCCATAGTGAGAACGAACAGGCGAGTAACAACCGGGGGGGGAAGAGGACTCAGTCGCAGCGGAAGAGCGGGCTAGGACGACGGGCCAAGACGTAGGGTAGGGCAACGGGCCAGGGCCTAGGGTAGGGCGACGGGCCAGGGCCTAGGAAGGGCGACAGGCCAAGGCCTAGGGAGGGCGACGCGACGGGGGAAAGGGCAGGGCGACGCGACGGGGCAGGGCGACGCGACGGGACAGGGCGACGCGACGGGGCAGGGCGGCGCGACGGAGCAGGGCGACGGGACAGGGCAGGGCGACGCGACGGGGTAGGGCGACGCGACGGGACAGGGCGACGGGACAGGGCAGGGCGACGCGACGGGACAGGGCAGGGCGACGCGACGGGACAGGGCGACGCGACGGGACAGGGCGACGGGACAGGGCGACGCGACGGGACAGGGCGACGGGACGGGGGGGGTAACAGGCGGGCGCGACGCGACGGGGGGAACGGGCGCGACGCGACGGGGGGGAACGGGCGCGACGCGACAGGGGGAACGGGCGCGACGCGACGGGGGGAACGGGCGCGACGCGACGGGGGGAACGGGCGCGACGCGACGGGGGGAACTGGCGTGACGCGACGGGGGGGAACAGGCGTGACGCGACGGGGGAGATGACGCTAGGCTCGGTACTAGGCGCGGTAACTACGAAACTGGTACGAACGAGAGGTAGGATCAGGCTCGGGAGGTACGAACGGAGAACGGAGGAACGGGATCCCACAGGATCCTAACCTAGCTGATACCATGTCAGAATGAGGAATGAATGTTGCATTGATGTTGGTTGGGGTACATATGACAAACCCTAACTTCTGTACCCCCTAAGACAAACCTCACTACAGGCTACAACATTTGACAGTTTTGTCCGGGAGTATACGGTATAGTAGGCAAGTGCTCACCTGATGTTTGGCTTAGGCAGGTGCTCCAACAGATGTCATATTGTGGCCATGTGTATTCGGCTGTCAATATACCTGCGACTGTTGATAGCAACATGTCACTACCATGATTTACCCTGTTCCTTCCTGTGCACGTCAGGTTCTCTCGCCTTCAATTACCAGCAAATACATTTCATTATACATTGATGAATCGATTTGCACAATGCACTAACCAGCTACATCAGATGGCAAGCGTGCAGAATGCATTTACATTATGCGGCTCCAGTCATGGTTTCTGTATTTGCTTCAAGGCTTCAGATCTCCTGGTGTGGACACACCATCTGCTTACTTGTGCTGCCAAGGGCACACAAGAGGGATGTGAGACAGATGCATGGGAAACATCAGCTGAAAGTATCAGAGCACAAAGCATATGAGCATATTCATCAGAATATGAGGGCACTAGGTATGCTGTGAAAAGCGACGGGAACAATGCAGAGGCATGGCAATCAGATCACCTCACCACATAAAAATGATCAACAACAGGAATTATATTGCAGCAGTGTACTTTGATGAAGCCAATGCTGTAGGAGTAGGTGCGGATGCACTGACATCTGAGGCTGTTGTGGTTTGCCCAAAATGCCAGCTTACGTAGTTTCGTAAAGCATAAGCCAAATGTACCTTGATGAAGCCGATGTCCTTTGGAGCACTGGCGGCAGCAGTTGAGACTTATATGGTTATCTTCATATGACTACTTTTGTAGTCTCCAAGTAAAATAAAGGAGCCATACGTACCTTAATTAATGGAATCGGTGCAGCAGCACTGGTAGAAACAGTTGGGGCCAAAATGGTGACTCTAGTGTTCCAAACTGCTGTAGCCTTCCACACCACGTATTTCTATGATCATATTATGCAACACACCATCATTATTGTACCTTGATGAAGCCGATGTCCTTGGAGTAGGTGCGGAAGCACTGGCGGCAGCAGTTGAGGCCATACTTGCGGATCATGCCGTGGCAGTTACCGCACACCCGGCTGCCAACCAAGACAGCGAGTGAGAGGGGTACGGGATGGAAAGGATACATCAATAATAACCTCAAGGAGAGTTTCAGACACCTCAGAGGTAATTGAAGCATCATGCCGTGGCTATTACTTGAAGCATCGTTCCAATGAAGAGACATGTGGGAGGGAAATGGAGGGATGAACGATGAGGGACGGAAGGCGAGGGAGACGAGATGTTCGAGATGCAGCCTGCATCCCGAATTCGACATTTACCCAAGAGATTGACGATGCGCTTGTGAAAGATTTCTGGAAATTCTAAAATATCCGGAATTCGGCATGGGGATTGATGATGCGCAACAGCCTACTACTAGACGATTGAGAAATGGGAGAGGGGTGTGCGACAGCCGAGAATGTTACTGCGACGAAGTTGCTAAAGAGAATAGTTCGCGTAGCGAGGTAGCTGTGTGCACCAGGGGGTGAAGCAAATGTCATTTCAGATCCGACCCGCCACTAAAGAGCTCCCGAGCCTGCTAAAGCGCGTATACGACGATCAGCGACAAATCAATGACAAGTAAAAACAACCGGATCTTTACACCACCTTCGAGGGCCAGAAAAGGTCGGCAGCAACCTCTTGGTACCCCTAACGGCAACCCCTGGAAAGTCGAGTGACCTCCACATGTACCTATCCTAACCGTAGAAATAACTCTTTCCTTAATGACCTTTGCACAAGCAGCACAGAAACCAGGATGACAACGAGCAAGATCCACGTGTACTCATCCTACCCTAACTGTAGCCCACAGAGGGGGGTAACCGGGTAACCTCCACAGGTATCTTACCCTGTAACCAACACTGTAACCCTAACTGAACAGAGACGCGCGCCGCCGGGAGTGCTTCTTCGGGTGCGAGATCTCAAGCCTAACGGTAAACCACCATCCCCTGCAACATCTTACAGCCTTTTACCGCAGGCAGCTTGCACGTGTATTCATCTAGCAATAAGACCACCTACGAATATAACAGCACTTTAACCAGCATTGTAACGCTGACTTGCCAGAGGCGGGCGCCAGGGGAGTGCTTCTTCGGGTGCGAGGCAACAATCCCGTCGAACTTTCACCCAAACGAACAATAAAGGTACTCTTCACTACCAGAGGAGCGCGCCTTCTTCGGGTGCGAGGCAACAATCCCGTCGAACTTTCACCCAAACGAACAATAAAGGTACTCTTCACTACCAGAGGAGCGCGCCTTCTTCGGGTGCGAGGCAACAATCCCGTCGAACTTTCACCCAAACGAACAATAAAGGTACTCTTCACTACCAGAGGAGCGCGCCTTCTTTGGGTGCGAGTTCCAGACCCTAACGGTAAACCAACACTCCCCCCTACCCTTTCCCTGTAACCACCTATAGAGGCGGCGCCACTCCCTGAAACACTGGCTTACCAGAGGCGCGCGCCGGGGGAGTGCTTCTTCGGGTGAGAGTTCCAGACCGTCTCGTGACCCATGGTGGCTCGCGGGAATCGACGGTGCTGCTGCACAGAGCACAACAATCCGACGGCACATATGCAACGACGCGACGTGAGACAACTCCTACTTGGATGCGCAACACGGATGGCGTGACACGTAGCGGCTCGCTACTAATTAGCAGTGTCACGTTGAGGCATAATGGACGAACAGGCAGGAACGATCCGATCAACGCCTAAAACCTGAGCGACTCTTCGTAAAAAGACTAAGCCATACTTCAGGACGAACCGCTAGAGCCGCGTAACGACCTTAGTGGACGCGGATCGCGTAATAAACGAACCTTAGGGAGGCAGGGAGAGGCGAGAGCGAGCGTGAGCGGAGAATGCGCGAGCTGAGAGGAAGGAAGAATGGAGGCGAGTTAGGGTTTTCAGTGGCAGGGGAGGTGGTGGACCAGGAGAAACACACATGAGCGAAAACGCTTCGTGTATTCAGCAAGCGTTTTAACATAATGGTATTAGGGTGTACCTCCATGATGCTGTTTTTTGCCCTGTACAAAATGCTCCTCTGATGCTTTATGGAGTATGGCGATGATTGATGATTCACTTTGCGCTGGAAGGACTTTCTGGGATTCGCGTTGTCAGCTGGTCTGGGGGGAGCGAAAAGTAAACACATATTTCGGCGTCTTCTCTACCTTCAAATGAAGGACTTTCTGTCACCATGCTTTGTGTCACAGCTTCTCCATATCGAGGACTCGGGTTTGTGCATGAACGATTTACACGATGCTCTCCACCCACCGACCCTAGTCTGCACAAAACGGAATTCATGAACCATCCTCCTTATAGGACGCGAAGCGCGTGGTTCAATGAATACCCTACATATTCATATTCTTCACGTGCCACGGTTCTGTATGGTGCGTCACGGTTTAGTGCAGGTGAGGTTTTCAACCGTAGAATACCGCGTAAAAGCTATTGCAACCGCACTGAATGATAATGATCAGTACACACACTGAGGAAGCACAGAATTGACGAGCATCTTGTTTGAAAAAGAACCAGCCAAACAGATTTTATAAAATTAGTCGCTACAGCAACATAGCTGACGCATGCGTTATCTCGAGTTTGCATAAGGCCTTCCGAGGCGGCACGCAGGCCTGCTCGAGCGATGAGTGCCGTGCAAGCGTCCGCTCTCAGAACGACATTCGTGACGCCTCTACCCTCCTCCTCAGCGTCATACCGTAATCGGGTAACCCTATGTCGCACAGCCACATCACCGTTTCTGCAATCGGAGCCGCGACGCATCGCGCGGCAAACGCAATGCCGCGCGAATCGCGGCAGAGATATCCCGGACACGGATTGGATGACGAGGACCGACCCGTGGGAGCTGCTAGGCGTCGCGGAAGGGTCCTCCGTCGATGAGATTAAAGCAGCCTTTCGCGCCAAGGCAGGTGATGTGACACGTGGCGTATTGCTGTTGGCGACGAGGTGCCGAGACGATGTATTCGTTCGTTGCTGTCGAACTTGCATCCGTTTACGATTAATATCCGTTTTTTCGAATGGCATTCGTACTCACCAGCATGTCAGGCATTCTTTTCTCAACTGCCATTTCTTTAACGACTAAAAATGAACGGCATCCGTACTCCTCCTCTCCATTCTCAACCGTCAGATCAAGAACGTCCATCCCGACGTGTACCGAGGGGAGTTAGACGCTGAGGCGATCACAACCCGCCTCGTGCTCGCCTATGAGGTGAGCTACCCGTACCCTCACGCCCTCCCTCCCTCACACCCTCGCACCCTCACACCCTCCCTCCCTCACACCCTCGCGCCCTCACACCCTCCCTCCCTCCCTCTCTCCCTCCCACCCTCCACTCGTGCTCGCATACGAGGTGAGCCGCTCCCTTCCCTCCCACTCTCCACTCGTGCTCGCATATGAGGTGCACCGTTCCCACTCCCACCCTCCCACCCTCCCACCCTTTCACCGTCCCCACCTTCTGCGTCCACTCTCCACTGCTCTTATTCTTCCCCTTGCACGTTCTCCTCTTTCTCCTCCTCCCTCCTCGCTCCGCCTTCCATTCTCCCACCCCGCCCGTCGCCCCCACACCCCCCCTCTCATGCTCTCGTGTTGTATTCCCCGCTTCCTCCTGCACATGCTCCTTTTTAAGTCGACTCAAATCACCCCACAACCCCCCTCTCATGTTCTCATTCTGTATTTCCCCGTTCCTCTTGCGCATGCTCAATCCCCCCAGTTGCTTCTAGAGGAGGTGGAGAATCCCACGGGAGGCAGAAGGTGAGCTGGTAACGAGGTGACCTTAGAGCCGACTCAGTCGTTTCTTGCAGTTGCTTCTAGAGCAGATAAAAAACCCTGCGGGAGGCTCCGAGGCAGAAAGTGAGATAACATGCATGGATGTGCCAGAGCTCATGTGTGTATGTATGTACACATGCGTGCACGTGCTTGCATGTGTGCGTGCCCATAACCATGTGGGTTGATGTGCAAGTGTGCGACTGTGAAAACCAAAACAATGCTTGTGTGTGTGTCTGCCTATACGCATGTGCTGCCTGTGCGACCCTGTGCGTGCAGATGGAGGAGAGAGGAAGAGGAAGAGGAAGAGGAGGGGGATCTCTGGCCCTGGGTCAACGAAATTCGTTGCCTTGGTCAATGTGAGTCAACGCCAGCTTATCAAGCTCCATCTCTGCTCCTCACTACCTGCTCTCGTCTCGAAGTGAAACGAGGGTCGCGGTCTGAGATGATGGAATCTGGAACCCCGTGCAGTCGGACTACGTTATCTACAAACAACGTCGCCGCTTCCTCTGCTGTGACCTTGCCGTGCGTGGGAATGAAATGCGCTGCTCGAGAAAACTTGTCCACTACGACGAAGATGGCGTCGTGACCCCTAATTATGTGCGCTGCTCTTTTGCCTCTCCTCAGTTTCCCCCCCGCTACAGCCTGCCGCTACAGCTGCTCAGTACGCCTGTTCCCTCCATCACAGCCTGTCATGACAGCTGCACTGTAGTTGCTCTCCTTTGAACTCTCACCACTTTGCCCATTCCCCTCCCTTCCCTCCCCCACTGCTACAACCTGCCTCTCCAGCTGCACTTTGCAAGAAATATTTTTTCCCGTTTGCTTGTTCTCACCCCTCGACCCCTACAGCCTGTCACTACAGCTCCACTGTTGCTGGCTTCGTTTCCTAGTCTCACACACTCCTTCTCCCCCCTTCCCCCCACTCCCCCTTTTTCCCCCTTATGCTACAGCCTGTCGCTCCAGCTGCATAGTGACAGCGCCCTTCCTCTTCTCCTATGCGGAGGACACAGCCAGGGCCCGTGCCATGTCCCCTGATGCCTTCCAAGGTAAATGGTGCTGGTGGGTGCTACAGCCGGTAAGCGCTACAGCCCCTGTCGCTACAGCCTGTCGCTCCAGCTGCATAGTGACAGCGCCCTTCCTCTTCTCCTATGCGGAGGACACTGCAAGGGCCCGTGCCATGTCCCCTGACGCATTCCAAGGTGCGTGGTGTGGTAGGCGCGACGGCCTGTTTCTGCTACAGCCTGTGGCATTTCTTGCATGTTAGTCAATAGCATTTGCCAGGGCCCGTGCTGTGTCCCCTAAGATAGCATTCCAAGGTAGGTGCTGGTATGCATTACTGGGTGCATTGCATGCTGTCCGATATCACAGCATTGCAATGAAATCTGAGAGCATGGTTTCCGGAAAGTGCTTCCCAGGGTTTGTCTCCCTTAGAATGCGTGGCAATGTTAAGAGTTCCCTAAACCATCTCATTGTAAGTGTACACTGTTCTGAGCACAGCCAAAATATGTTTCAGGTTCTGCTATGTGATGTGTCACTAATATGCTCTTTGGCTGTATTCACTTGATGTTGATACTGCCTCTGTTTATAATCACATTGCTACTGTGCAGGGTGGACAGTGGGAGGGGAGACTAAGGACAGGGCTCGTTACTGTGTCAACCTGGCTGTGGGACAATGCCCAGAGCTTTGTATACACTATGTAACGTCCGCACAACATGCTGAACTAACTGAGAAGCTTCAAGGGTATGTGCTGTTTGTGGTAATTGGGATGTTGCTTTTATTTTCTTCTTTTTCTCTTCCTCGCATCACCCAAGCCACTTGTTGATCCTTTTGTGCCCTTTTTTTTATGTTGTCCTTTTTACAAAGATTGTTGTGCCCACCCGCTTATCCAATGTGCAGGATTGTGGATGGGATGGTACCCTTGCAAGAAGGTGCTTTTGACATTCAGGCATACATAGCAAAGGCCACGTATGATAACAATCGTAGACCACGGCCAAAGCGAAGGCCTAAAGCAGAAGGCGAATATGTGGACTGGTACTAGAAAGTTGGTCGTGTTTCAATTACTGGTCTTGTAATCTATGTCAATTCTGTATTGGAGTTTGAACTGTATGATCGGCGCAATCTGGTCCAATCTATCAAATGGATATGTCCGTAACGCTCAACCTCCTGCGATGCGACGCCGCAATTTGACGTCACTTTCAGCTCATTCCTCCAATCATCCTTGCACAATTGTGCATGGAAGCATCCTCACCACACCACCACCAACCTCGGTGGAGATTTACTCCGGCTGCTACCCTCCGTCAAAACAATTTATTCGGGATAAAATTCGCTGATTTCTAGAAGGGTCCCTGATTCCTTGTATGGCCCATCATATTTTTCTTCATTCTTGCTCGCACATTTAGCAGCCCACACAAACCTCGAATGGACATGTGATTTCCCATGTAAGTTCCGCCCTGGTGAGTTTCCTTGTGAGTAATGAATTCTGTGACCTGACCAAACGAGGTGAGGTGAATTGCCTTTCCCATTTGAAAATTACTTAGAGCCTTGACATTTTCGAGATTCGGTCACTGATGAGCCATCAGTTTCCAACCCACGTGGCAGATCTAACGTCTGCCACTGAGGCAGCACGACGCTCGGCGTTCCCGAAAATCTGGGAACTCCAATGCTGGTTCTCTACGTCGATCATATGTGAAGTAGTTGGAATCAGCACCAGCATGTCCATCACGCCGGAGAGGAAACTCAGAAGCTGGTTTTGTTGAGATGAGATTCAACTGATTGTAGGCAATGTAGGGACGTCTTTAGAAATCCCACTATTTTGTTCCTTTTCTCGAAATAACACAGTCAGCATTGTTGTTTGGCGTTATCAGGCGTACACTCGTTGATACTCTGATCTTGCTTGGATTTCTAGGCCTCAGATTAACATGTCCCGTTGCCATTGCCAGTCTCTGATTGATTTCGTTTTTGCCGCATTCTCCAGCAGCAAACCCTACAATTTCCGCATTGCATTCCGTCGGCTGATTGTGTGAATTCGTCTCACTTGAAGCCTTCCACGCTGGACTCGTTAACGCCGGTCTCGTTAAGAAGCTGGCTGCTGCTAAGTGGGGGAGAGCAGCGTCAGACCCTTGATCACTGACATCCGCGATACTGACACTACCGATTCGCTGAAACCAGTGCGATTAACGAGACTTACGAGCAGTGCGACGTCCAACACTGACACCAGTGAGCCACTGGCTGACACCCTAAGCTAATAACGCTGACTGACACTCATAAGTCACAGGCACATGCGTTGCGCTGGAGTGAAGGCAAACCCGGCAGCGTGTTCGGCATTTCCGACCTCCTCATTCCCGAGACATCGAGCCGTCGACGTATTGCCGGATCCGATGTTTCTGCTGTGCGCTTTTTGACACCGCGCTATAAGCAGCTGCGATCCAAGCAAATGCGTTACTAGCAACTCGCTACCAGTAACTCACTGCTAGCATTTTGCGCTATTACCAACGCATACCATTTGACTTACAGCTGAACGTCACTCGCCAGCCCGTCATCTGATCCCTAACTTCACACTTAGACTCGTTAAGCAGCGGCTTATAACGGATCCGCCATGGCTGGAAGTATCGTGAACATTCCTGGTATCACCAGCAACGGCAGCACGGCCGCGCTATTCCACCTCATCCTCCCCCAGCGATACGTGATTGTGCTGCTAACGCTGGTCTGCTCCGCCGTGTGCTATATCGAACGCGTGGGGTTCTCTATCGCGTACACGGCGATCGCGATCCGCGAGGGGGTGGATCAAGCGACCAAAGGATGGGTCATGTCGGCCTTCTACTACGGATACGCGTCGTCCCAGGTACGCCGCACCCTCTACCCTCTTCCATAAGTCGCCCTTTCTACCTTCTTTCATAAGGCTCCCTCTCTACCCTGGTTTGAAGGGAGTGGATCAAGCGACCAAGGGATGGGTCATGTCGGCATTCTACTACGGATACGCATCGTCGCAAGTAAGGCGCCCTCACTATTTCTGAGAAAATTGGAAAAACAACTCGTGACAGGCAAGCCCTCCAGCTTCCCTAAGTCGCAAAATGCTTAAACAACAACTCATAGATTCAGTGCAGGTGCAGCCTCACGTACTCGTTTGTAGCCTGCTCCGCTGCTTGCTATTGCCATCTGATATTCTCCGTCCTCTCCTCTCCTCCTCCCTTCTCTCTCAGGTCCCTGGCAGCTGGGCATCTCAAAAGTATGGCGGCTGGCTCGTCCTTACAAGCTCGTTAGTAGCTTGCTCCGCTGCTCCCTATTGCTAATCAATTTTCCCCGTCCTATCCTCCTCCCTCCCCCCTCCACTCTCCCTCCCAGGTTCCAGGCAGCTGGGCGTCTCAAACGCACGGCGGCAGGCTCTTTCGTAGCCTGTCCCGCTGCTCCCTATTCCCATTTAATCTTCCCCGTCCTATCCGCCTCCCCCACCCTCCTCTCTCTCACTCCCAGGTCCCAGGCAGTTGGGCTTCTCAAAAGTATGGCGGCAGGCGGGTCCTCACATACTCGTTTGTAGCCTGGTCCGTTTTATGCGTTCTCACGCCCACCGAGTCACCCCCTGACAGCACTGGCAGCGGCCCCAATACAGTCACACTCGTTATAATCCGCCTGCTAGTAGGCATCGCCCAGGGATTCATATTCCCCGCTATTCACACCGTCTTGGCTCAATGGACGCCCCCTCACGAGAAATCCCGCGCAGTGAGTCTGTCTATGTCGGGGATGTACCTAGGAGCAGGCATAGCCATGCAGATACTCCCCGGATTAGTAGCTTCTAGAGGGCCCGAGTCGGTGTTCCAATTAGTAGCAGCCATGGGCGTCGCGTGGACTATTTTATGGGTTAAATATGCGACGGATCCGCCTGGCGGGGCGACAGCGTTCGCGCATGTGCCTGTGGGGGGCGGCATGGGGGGGCATAAGGGGAGTGAAGCGGAGTTGCTTCCGCTTGTGAATGGGGAGGGGGAACGGGGGAGAGTAGGCGGAACAGGGTTGGAATCAGAAGTGGTGCATAGAATAGGGGGAGGCGGAGGCGGAGGGGGGGGCGCGGGGGGGGACAATGGGGGGAGTGGCGGAGTGGGGGGAGGCGGGAAGGGAGGGGGACTAACATCAAGCACAATCTCCGCGTTAGGGCTAGGGGCAAAAGGGGGAAGCGAGGATGAGGAGGAGGATGAGGAGGAGGAGGAGGAGCAGCAGCGGCTAAAGAGACTCGGTCAAGGCTTCGCCTCAGTCCCCAAACACCTCAAAACATCATACAAACCGTCGTTAATTAAAGACCCTCCTATTCCCTGGATACCTATCCTTACCAGCGCACCCGTGTGGGCCATAGTAGCTAATAACTTCACCTTCCACTACGCCCTATACGTCCTTATGAACTGGCTCCCTACATACTTCCACCAGGCTTTAAACACCAGCCTGCACAACGTAGGGTCCGGGAAAGCCATGCCTTATTACATAATGACGCTTTTTTCCAACATAGGAGGTGTACTGGCCGATCACTTAATCGCGAAACGGTACCTGACTGTAGGGGGGACAAGAAAGGTCCTCAACACTATCGGATTCTTCGCGTCAGCAGTCGCCCTAGCCCTCACTCCCGTCCTAAAATCCGTCAACGGGGCGGTCCTCTGCTCGTCTCTCACCCTAGGCGCCTGTGCAATCGCCCGGGCGGGATTTGCAGTTAACCACATGGATATAGCGCCTAGATTCGCAGGAGTGGTGATGGGTGTGTCGAATACAGCAGGGACTATGGCAGGCGTGGTAGGGGTGGCAGCTTCTGGGCTGATTCTTGAGGCGTTTTCGGGTGGAGAGGGGTCGGGAGGAGTGGGGAACGGTGGAGTGGGAGGAGTAAGTGGTGTGGGAGGAGCAGGAGGAGGAAGGGGAGTAGGGGGGATTGATCCGGGGTGGTGGTGGGTGTTCTTCACGCCAGCGTCCCTGTGTGTGGTCAGTGCTTTGATCTTTGACGCGTTTGCCACGGGGGAGCGGGTCTTTGAGTGACGTGCCTGGCAGGCCAGCAGCAGTGCGATTGACCATGAGGAAGGAAGGACGGGGAGGCAGGGGGGGGGGGGGGGGGGGGGGAATGAGCCGGAGTGACCATGTGTGACCAGCTTTCACGCCAGCATCTCTGTGTGTGGTCGGTGCTTTGATCTTTGACGTGTTTGCCATGGGAAAGAGGGTCTTTGAGTGAAGTGACTTGGACACGTGAGTTGACTCACAGGGGACGTTCCTGGAAAGCCAGTGGGCAGGTGAAGGAGGTTTGGGAATTGGGAATGAGTGACCACAGAGGGGGGTGAATTGGGGCGGTTGCGGAGGTCTTGACTGGTGGCTGGCTGCTTGAGAGTTGAGTCTGAAGGGGGTGCTGGCTGATGGGCTTTTGAGATTTCTCAAAAACCAGTGAGAATTCTCAAAAAGCTGATGAGCTTTTGAGATTTCTTGGGTGCTGAGTTGATGAAGATAGGTAGCTGAGGCCGAGGCCAGAGGGATTGATGCCTGAGGCAAGGGGGGGCTTTACTGCTCTTTTCACTCATATGGATCCTCGCAGCCGCCGCCAAACAGACAATGCTGTCTGAGTCAATCCGTTTTGAACAATGAGAGGTGGCGGTTGAGATGGTGCATGGGTGCCGAGTCTGTGGCCATAGCACCATGTGAGATTCGGCTGACTCAAGATGGTGTGGAGGGTGGAAAGGATGATGGTGGTGTTTTGGGGAGTGGCACTGTCAGCAACAGCGGTGGTGGCGGCAGCATCAGCATCAGCATCAGCAGCAGCAACTGCAGCGGCGGCGGTGGCGGAAGCGGTGGCGGCGGCAACACCGCTGCATCAGCACCAGCATCAGCACCAGCACCAGCACCAGCAGCACCAGCACCACCACCAGCAGTACCAGCATCAGCACCAGCAGCAGCAGCAGCAGGTGACGAAGCAGCGCAGCAAAGAGTTGGAGCTCGAGAAAAAAATGAAGAAGGCTTCTGCTGACTCCGCAGCAGGAAAACACAGCGGCTGGCAGAAGCTTCACCCTGTGCGTGCCATGATGATCTCAGTCGTGCCGGAGCCACTTTTAAAATATTGCAAACTTCATGTCATGTTTAAGATATTGCATAACGCTACTAATCCCCAACACTGTCGGGTGCCCGTCTTTTTCCGTTACTGGCACTAATGGGTCCTTCAACGCTCCATCTTTGATGCTACTCCGATGTGGTATGTGATCGGAACCTTAGGATAGCCAGATATTTTGTGACAGCCAGCCATATGCTAGCCTAGCGGTACTGTCTTGTCAGCTGAGCTGATGTTTTGCAAGCCGATGTTCGCAATGATGTGGGCATGCCATCCTACCGTATGACCCCGGATATAAGCGCAGGCCTATTAAAAGCGCATGCGCTTATATCTGGAGCAATGCGCGTATGGCTGATCCTCATTTACAAGCGCACCCCCTGTAAAACTCTGATTTATAGTAAGCGCATGTACAATTTATACTTTAAATCATGATTAAAACGGTAACGATTCCCCGTTCTGCAGCGAGTCCACCAGGCCCTCAGATTGGTTTCAGGGCATGCTGATGGATCAGCGTGCCCTGCCCAAAGTAGTGACCAAATCAGCGTTGGGGGTGAAGTTTATGCTGATTTTGTCAGGGTAAAATTTCATGGTTAACTGATTTATTAGTGTAGGAATTAAGTTTGAACTTCGTAATCAGTATTTCTAACGTAGCTGTCTGAGGCTTCGTCCTGTTGTTAGAGAGGTCACGGGGCAAGTCCCGTGAGTGAGAGGTTTACTAGTGCGTGGCGGTAATTTTCGGCCTAATCCCACGTCCGCGCACCCCATGTCTTGTACGGTACCCTAAGCATTTTGGTAAGTTTGAATCAGTGTGACTCAGTACACTATACTGATGGTTCAGTGTCACTGGTACACCTATACACTAATTCGTCAGGGTAGTCCTATACTTCAAACTGGAAAATCAGTGCAAATATAAAGAAGATACTGAAATTTCAGGGAAAACGAAAATCACAGCTACAAAATCAGCCTAATCAGTGTGTTTTACGCTGATATCTGAGGGCCTGGAGTCCACCCACATCCATTTCTACCGTACTTTGGTTGACTCTCTTGAGCACGGGCGATTCGATCAGGAAAGGAACCACGCGAAGCTGATCATGACTGACAGCCCTTTCGGGACGAGGGGGGGGGGGGGGGGGGGGGGGGGGGGGTGGGAAAAGGGAACGTGCCTGTGCGCTGCGAGCGAGCAGGTGCACGCGAGTGGCTCGTATGCTGGCCCGGGGCGAAGCTGACTGACAGCACAGTCGTGGGGGCTGTGCATTGAGCAAGTGACTGCATGTGATTGGCTCATACACTGGGCCGGGACAAGCTTGACGTGTCCTTGCCCTTGTGCGCCGGCAGAAAATCGCCCCTCGCGCGATTCTGACGCCCATTTCGATTTGATTGAAAATGATACTACACTGAGATGCACAATTTGGTGTTTTTAATCATAATTATGTTTTTGCCATTATATTGAGGAAAGTAGAACGAGAATGATTGACTAAGGAATGGAAGTGATACAAATATGCAACCCTAGAAATGTGTACCCCATATGGGCTACCCCACTATAGCCTACACAATATTATAATTTGACATACCCCCATAGGCAAAGTGGGGGAGAACAAGGGGTCACAAGCCCAGTCAAGCAAAGCAGACAAAGCTCAGGGTGGATCACAACGTCACCACACAGTCCGAGCACAAGGTCAAGGCCACAAGGCCAGTTCACATGCAGGAGTAAACACATATATATAAAGCTAAACAAGCAAGAGCAGGTATATATATATGTAAGAGTACAAGCAAGGTCAAGGGGTGAGCAAGTGAGGCAAGACAGGCACAAGACCCAGCTGAGTGCAGAAGCGCTGATGATCATAAGGCGGAAGTGCCTTGGTGAAAACATCAGCAGTGTTGGCCTTAGAGGCCACGTACGCAAGTCGCAACTGACCACGCTGCTGCAACTCACGAGCAAGAAAGTAGCGGAGAGCAATGTGATTCGTTCTGTGCTCCAGGCGCTGCTCCCGACACAAGGCCAGCATGGCCTTGTTGTCTACGTATAGCACTAGAGGAGAACGAGGCGGCTCTCCGAGGTCAGTCAGCAGGTAGCTGAGCCAGCGAAGCTCCTGTGCAGCCATGGCCCCGGCGTAGATCTCAGCCTCACAACTGGAGCCGAGAACAGAAGACGAGCGAGTAGCCCGCCACGAAACAGAGCCGGAACCAAGACTGAAGGTGTAACCCTGTGACGACCGATGAGTAGCCTGGTCGTCTGCCCAAGAAGCGTCCGCGTGCCCAGTGAGGACCACTGGACTCCGCCCTCCAAGCACTAGCCCCATGCCCGACGTACTGCACAAGTAGCGCAATACCCTCTTTGCTGCAGCCATGTGCTCTGGTCTGTGTCTCCCAGGAGCAACATAGCGTGCAAGAATGCTAAGAGGGTATGCAAGGTCAGGTCGTGTGCAGGTCATCAGGTACATGAGGCAGCCAACAAGCTCTGGGTACGGGCCACTCGACTCTACGGACTCATCCGAAGGCAGAGCTGAGAGCGAGTGGCGAGTAGGCAGAGGAGTGGCCTGAGGCGAGGAGTACGTGAAGCCGAAGCGCTGAAGGACCTGCTGCACCATATGTGACTAAGTCAAGGTAATGGTGCGGCGTGCTCTGTCCCGGGTGATCTGCAAGCCAAGGTAGCTGCGCAGCTCACCCAGGTCTGTACACGTGTGTCTCTTCTGCAGCTCGGACTTCACGTGGGCAAGTCCAGCAGTGTCACGTGTGGCAAAAACCAAGTCGTCGACGTACACGAGGATTTAGAACGGCGGCAGAGAGGTGTTGGTGCGCAGAGACAACGACGGGTCAACAGTAGAGGGAGCAAACCCAAGAGCCGCAAGCGTAGTCCTCAGTGTGTCGTGCCATTCGCGCGGTGCCTGGCGGAGACCGTAGACTGGCCGTCGGAGGCTCCACTGGGTGCCAGGAGGGAAAGTCCCAGTGAAGCCAGGTGGACGGCGCAGCCAGATCTCCTCGTGCAGGCTACCCTGCAGGAAAGCAGTGCTGAAGTCAAGGGAGTGAAGCTCGTAGTCACGCTATGTGTAGCAGCACCCGAAGAGTGGTCATCTTTGGGGTGGGAGAGAAGGTCTGAAAGTAGTCAACTCCCTGCCGCTGACTGAAGTCACGAGCCACGTACCGCGCCTTGAAGACAGGTGGAGAGCCCGGCGGCCGCTTCATCCTGAAGATCCACATGCCACTGACGATGTTCGCCCCAGAGGGAGGAACCGCGTCAACGTAGGTGCGTGTGGACTTCCAGGAAGCCATCTCTGCATCCATAGCTGCCTGCCACTGAGAGGAGTAGGGACCCTCTACGCTTCCGCGTAAGAGCGCGGAGTCGGGATGTCTAGTGCATCCGGGTCTCCCTCAGGGGTAAGCAGTACGGACGCGAGATGAGGTGAAGCAACAGCCAGACACTGGAACTCCTCCTGCCTGTCCTCAAGGACGTCCGTGCCAAGAGCACAGTCACCCCCGACGGACGGAGGACAGACAGCCACCGTGTGTTCAACCCACCGTGTGTTGAACCCCCGAAGTGTTCAACCCACCGTGTGTTCAATACACCGTGTGTTCAACCCACCGTGTGTTCAGCCCACCGTGTGTTAAACCTACCGTCTGTTAAACCTACCGTGTGTTCAACCCACCGTGTGTTCAACCCACCGTGTGTTAAACCCACCGTGTGTTCAACCCACCGTGTGTTCAACACACCGCAGCGTAGTCTAGACGACAGCGAGCAGCAAAGTCGACGAGCTCAGCAACAAGAGCAGACGCAGCAGTGGACTCAAAAGAGGGGTCAGTGAGGACAGTAGCAAGGAGACGCGTGACGATAGGACTGGTAGCACGAAGAGAGTCCGACTCCGGGTCGGCAAGCGCAGGAAGAGAGGACTCAGGAGGAGAAGGCAAAGGGACACGCAGAGGAGCAGTGGACGGACGCAGAGACATCCGGTGC